CCCACGCACAAACGGATTAGGTGAGAATGGACGGCCCAAAGGCTTCTCAACAAGCTTAACAACCCCCTTTTTTTTTTGACTTCTCTGAATCAAAAATGTACACTGTTAGCTCTCAAATCCCAATCTAAATGTGTATCGATGTGAAAGCTTAACCTAGCAATTTCCTGTACAATGTAAGCAAATAATTACAGGACTTAACCTAGTCTCAGGTACAATTCACAAATCCCACATTAAAATGAATCAAAGACAATGAAAATCAAACAATAAAAAGTGCAGTATACAAATTAAAATCACTTGGTTAACACAAATAAATTCAACAATTCAACTTGTGAAACAGTAAATGAATAATGTATGTAAATAGCTTGGCCTAACTGCCCAGTTTACTCTGTCTAGCATGGATGGTTGGATAAGGTAAATCCTAACCTAGCTAGTGTGCTATAGCTTAAACCTGGCTTTATAACTCCCTGTAAATAATAACTAGGTTAAATCTGTCCTAGCTACTATAACTGTTGTACATATTGCACAAGCCTAGCCTAACTGTGGCTACCTTGCAAATCCACTGTTAGTAATCAACACACAAGTCTCCTACTCTGGATTACTTGTAATCACTGTAAATAATTAAATTCACAAACTTCTCTAGCCTACCTGGCCTGCCTGTAAATTACTGCAAATAACAACTTCTGTGTATAGTCAGCTTGGCCTAGCTCTGTGTAACTCTGGGCCTAGGTGTGCTAACTTAACCTAACTCTGTTAAACTGGTTCCTAACTGTGGCCTAGCTATGATAGCTTAACCTAGCTATTCCACATCACGGTTTTCGAAGGACCACTTTTTTGTGAAAATTCGTGTGGACTGCCTCCAAGTGAGTCGCCTACCCTCGCAAACTCTGTTGACACCGAGCTCTGAGGTGGGTACCTCAGCCTCACAAGTGGCTTATAGGACAGATTTTCACAAATGATTGATGTTGCAAGAAACTCGCCTGCATGCACGTATAAAGGACTAACTTACTTGGTGTTGCAGCATATATCCTGATCTTCAACTTCCCTAAGCTTAGCCTTAGCCCCTTTGGACTTCCCCTCAGAAACCACGTGCAACCGAGAGCCTTAATTCCTGCAATATTCAATCGTTATTAGTGTCCTGCCTGCCCCCCAGAAATTCCTATATCCAAGAGGGTATGTATCCCCTAGTATAATAACTATGCAGACACGGACACTAGCTTCCAGACTGCCCTGAGACACTGGTACTTACTGGGCATGCACTGCCTGTTGCACACCGGATCCACAGATCAAACTCACTCACAATTCTCCCCAGACACTGTGTATGAATGTGTGTGCATGTGTGTGTATGAGTTTGTGTATGTGTGTGTGTGTGTTTATGTGTGTGTGTGTGTGTGTGTGTGTGTGTGTGTGGGGGTGTGTGTGTGTGTGTGTGTGTGTGTGTGTGTGTGTGTATGAATTTGTATATGTGTGTGTGTGTGTGTGTGTGTGTGTGTATGATTTGAAATATGTGTGTGTGTGTGTGTGTGTGTGTGTCTCAACAATCAATATTTGCCCCAATAACTCATTACAGTTGTGACCGGGTGTGGAAGTGTGAATTGCTCATTACTCTATAATTTGTTCATGTTTGTAGCCGTGTATAAACGTATGAAAACCATTCTTACAGTTTTTCATTACCTTTGTAACTTGTGGAGTTTCATTACCTTGTACCTGGGTTCAGCCATCAAAAACTTTGGGGCCCAGTCCCTGGACCCATTACATACCTCTGCAATCTTTGTAACTTGTCATGAGTGTGACTAGACCTACCTGGAGTTCATTGCCTTTGTAAATTGTGAGTTCATTACCTTTGTAAATTGTGAATTCATTACCTCTGTAACTTGCTCAGCTATCAAAACTTTGGAGCCCAGTCCCTGGACCAATTATGTCCCTCTGTAATCTTTTTGACTACCGCCACATGATGGGTATGGGGTGCTAAAAAAAACTTATTAAACTAAAAAAAACACTGGCCAGAAATCTACGAGATGAAGTGGAGATCTTGTCTTACTGTATGGGCCTGACGGAGAAGGTATTTTCGGTACATCGAGGTGCCTCTACCAGATTTCCCCAGTCTCAAATGTGAAGACACGTGGGGGGCGCCGTTTTGCTGATCACGGCACGTCTTGTCCAGTTGGTGACTGTTTTAAGAAGAATGAGCGGGGTCTCTCTTCCGGGCCCCTCGTCTCTTCGTTCAAACTAGGGCTGCCAGTTCTCCTAGCAAAACTTATCCTAGTGTTTGCCTAAATTATCGCCCTATTACTACATATGTTAAAAGTCTTAGGCCTACTTTATTATTATCTACGTTCCTTAGAAAAACCTAATATTATGTACTAACAGTAAAACTCCCTACTCCTTCCTGAAGGGTAAATCTAAAAATTTTAAATAATCCCTACCAACAATCCATGCCAACTGAGAGAATGCTGTTTGTTTGGGAGGGTTTAAGGGCACCCAGCTCACCCGTTCCAATACGGCATGTCGGATCGGTCCTGTGGAATTTTTAGGGACCAAATAAATTTCCACAGTCACTCGTAGTGCCAATTTGTCCGCCATGCTGCCATATGTCAAAATCATTTAAATTTTTTTTCTCCGTTGCTTGTTGGCCAATCATATTGAAACTTTGTCATATTCATTTACTTTATACACTTCTAAACATACACCAAAAATAAAAGAAAACGGGCGAAAAATAAAGGAGGGGAACGAATTGAAGGCAACCCCTATAGCTCTCGCTTCACACGTTGAGGGTATTACTTTCGATTCCCAGCAGGGTTAGAAACACTGGGCGTGTTTCTTTACACCGGTTGTCTATGTTACCCCATCAGTTTAAAAAGGGGTACCTGGGTATTTTGTCGACGGTGTGTGTCGCATCCTGGACAATGACCTAATTTGGGCCCCAAATGCTCTGCTCACAAGGTGCTTTTATATTAGTAGTATCTCATTGAAGTCGCTATAGTCTGTATACCTTGTACATGTGCTTGTAGTGTAGTAAATAAAGAATTATTGTTGGTTTGCGTGCAGCCAGCAGCAACAGCCTGGTTGATCAGGCTCTGATCCACCGGAGGCCTGGTCACAGACCAGGCCCCGGGGGCGTTGACCCCCGGAACTCTCTCCAAAGGGAAAAATCCAGGTAATACAGCTGCTGCCCCTGTATTTAACTGGGAAAAAAGCCTACTGCGTGAGCGAAACGTTTCCCAAAAATTTGATACCCAACTTCTCTGCTTATTCACTTAAAAAAGGCCCGGGTTTATTCATAATTATAACACTCTATCAGATGAAAACAATCAGTTGCGTGACATTGTGTATTTCTGTACATCGTCTTTACGAGCACCCATGATCTTGCTAAAACAAGCACAATTTTCCATAAATATAAAAGCCGCATTTAATTTTGAAAAATGTTTATTAGAATAAATCTTAGCGTAATGTGTACATTACATTCCCTCAGTGATACTGAAAATCTTGTGGTTGTCCAGTAGTGAAGTGTTGGAGGTTCCGATGTTCATTATCCCATCGTGTGATGCCTTATATTCAGAAAAAGTGTTGAAAACGAGCACCAAAACTGTTGGACCTGGGGGGAAAACACAAAAAATTTTCTTTAACATTTAAGAGGAGAGAACAGTATAAGTGCTGCTACAAACATATAAGCTATGATAAAATAAGTTGATCAGTTATCCTTTGTTTCTTTTCAAGGTGATATTAAATTCTACGTTAAACAAGTTGGTGTGACTTGTAGCTTGATTGCTAGCACACTCAGCTCAATGATGTCTGGGGAACGAATTCCAGGTACGGGTAGAAACATTAGGACGTTTTTTCCATATGACACCTGCGTCCTGTTTTACCAATCAGTAAAATGGGTACCTGGGTGTTAGTCGCTGGTGTGGGTTGCATCCTAGGAGAAAATTGACCTAATTTTCCCGAAAATGCTCCGCATAACAAGCGGCATTTCTACAGTAGTATGTTTACTGATATCTAGGCCTGTATACCTTGTACATGTACTTACCTGGAGTTTACCTGGGAGAGGGTTTCGAGAGTCAACGCCCCCGCTGCCCGGTCTGAGACCAGTCCTCATGGTGGATCAGATATTATTATTAATATTAAATGATCTAAGTCGGGAGCGAAACATCTTCATAAGTTTCTCCCATCTATGAACACTGAATGACTACGGGTTTAGTGCTTTCCTGTGATTAAAATGAAATTTCTCCTATGTCCGGGTTATTTGTGCATAATAAATGAATGAAAATCTCTCTCAACGACACAAAAACTTCTATTAAAGTCTTACGATTATGGTTAAAAAATAAATTAATAGTAAATTTTTTAATAAATTTTAGTAAAAGTAACACTGATTTTTTTTCTGGTCATGCAAACAGCACTTAAAATTTTTGACATAAACACTTGACATAAGTGTTCAAAACGTTGAATATACATTTCTTTATAAGGCCTATGACAGATTTCTAATTTAATATTTAAGTGGTTATTAGGCACATTATTATTATTACATGTTCAGGGAAGCACTGAACCATTGATGGGCACACAGCACTGGTACGGTAACCACCACTACTGTGTCCAGCACTCACGAAGTAACAACAGTAATAATAATAATAACAATTATAATTTTTATTACTACAAGTATATGTACAAGGTATACAGGCCTAGCTGACATCAGTAACATACCACTATATAGAAAGCCGCTTGTTATGCAGAGCATTTCAGGGAAATTAGTTAAATTTTGTCCCAAGATGTGACCCACACCAGTTGACTAATACCCAGGTACCTATTTTACTAATGGGTGAACACTGGACAGCAGGTGTCTTAAGCAAACATGTTCGAATGTTTCTACCACCACTACCATGGTCATTGTCCAACACTCCGGTAGAATGACAACAGTGACTTACCTGCCACCACTACCACGGCTGTGTTCAGCATTCAAGGAAAAGGATGTGTCCTTGTTGGGTCGGAACTCGTAGCCTATGTTAGCTCCCACGTTCTTCTGGCTGGGAAACCTGATCAACACAATGCATTTTATAACTTGACGCTCTAACTTATTATCATATCATATACAATCTACCATCGATTAAGGACGGTAGTTTGGTTCCTAAAAATGCAAATGTTAGACGAATATGTGATAAAGGAACTGAAGAACTTGTGGAAAAAGTAGGGTTACATTCCTACGACCCCCTAAAAAGCCAAAAAAAAAAAAAAAAAAAAAAAAATGGGTCTCCAAATCTCATAAAAATAAAAAAATAATAATGCAATTTTTGTTCATTATTGTTACAATGTATGTTTTTTCCGTTGCTTAAGGCTTAAAAATGCAACAGAAATATTTCTTATCCTAAAGCATAGTTGCTACCGAGAAGCAGAACTCAGATAACTACTAGGCAACTACCTAAAACAGGATCGACAAGGGTGGCTATCACTCATCAGTTAGATTTTTTGAGCATTCCTTCTGTCTCCCAGCAAGGTAATGTGAACCAAAAAAAGAGGAAATATTCTCATTGTCACTTATTCAATCACTCCCTTGCCTGCAGCACGCAAAATCCCCCGTTCAGTGGCCCCCCTGAACTGCAGCACCCTACCCCCCCTTCAGAGTGCAGGCACTTACTAAAACCCCCGGTTCAAGTCCAGCTAATAGTTTCCCGAATCTCTCAAAAATTTATTTGGCACCCTGCGCACATCAAGTCAAAAAAAAACATTTGCTTCCACTCTCAGCCCCCTAGTTCAAAATTCTTTTACCCCTTCCCTCCCAACCCTTTCCTGGACGTCCATCCCTTCCCCCCCCACAGATTTATACAAAATTGGTTATCTATCTGGCTATTTTCACTAAATATTTTTTCCCTTATTGACTTCTGAATAATACTTTGACAAACACACCATTAATCTCCAGGCTCCGAATTTTGCGTAATATGCACGCTACACATTGCCCTCAAATATCATTTCCCAGCCCCCAACCTTCTCCCACGCAAATTTGGGAAAATAATGCTTATGCTAGTAAGTGTTCAAAAGATATGATCAGTATGCATAATAAGTTATTAAACTAAAAAGATCATAATATCTACAAAATGCTTGACAGTCAATTTGCTAATGTGAGTCAGATGATTTTTCTTTTATCAGTTAAAAAATCTAGTGAATTAAGATCAACTTTTGCTTGGAGCTTCCTGTGTTGAATCAATTGAACTGTTACTTACCCTTTCTGCCAGTCATGGAAACTTTGCTTTAATAATTAAGTCTATAATATTAACACACACACACACCACACAACACACACACACACACAGGATGAGGGCTACAAAGGGATCTGGACTAGGCTTGCAGCCAACAACTGGCTCCTGGAGAAAACTCCACCAAGTGCAAAGTCATGAAGATTGGGAAGGTTAAAAGAGACCACAGACAGGAGTACAAGCTAGAGGGCCAAAGACTGCAAACCTCACTCAAGGAAAAGGTCTTGGGGTGAATATAATCCGAGCACATCTCTGAGGTGTGCATCAACCAGATAACTGCTGCAGCATCTGGGCACCTGGCAAACTTAAGAATAACATATTGACACCTGAGTAAGGAATCACTCATGCTCTGTACACCGTGTATGTCAGGCTCATATTGGAGTATGCAGCACAAGTATGGAACCCACACCTGGTCAAGCATGCCATGAAATCAGAAAAGTGCAAAGGTTAGCATCAAGACTAGTCCCGGAGCTAAGGGGTATGTCCAACGAGGAGAGGTTAAAAACCAACCTGATGACACTAGAGGACAGGAGGGATAGGGAGAACATGATAATGACATACAGAATACTGAGAGGAACTGAAAGAGTGGATAGGGACAGGATGTCTCAGAGATGGGAGACACAGCAACAAGGGGACACAGTTGGAAGTTGAAAACTCAGATGACTCACAGGAATGTTAGGAAGTATTTCTTCAGCCATAGAGTTGTCAGGAGTGGAACAATTGGAGAATGATGTAGAGGAGGCAGGATCTTACATAGTTTTCAGAAGACATACGACAAAGCTCATGGAGAAGAGAGAGAGTGGACCTAGTAGCGGCCAGTGAAGAGGTGGGGACCATGATCTCTGACTCGACTCCTGCAACCACAATAGGTGAGCACACAAATAGGTGAGTACACACACAAAAAAATACTTAGCAACAATGTAATTAATAATATATTCTTTAAGTAGAGCTAATACCATAAGGGTCATTACAGCTAGTAGAGAATGGGCAGTATGTGGGTACTGAGGTTTGATGGGAGGAAGGTTACTTAAGTTATAATATCACGTGAACAAAGATCCACATTATGTGGACACTTTCCTGGCAAACAGAATACAGTCATTTAGATGACTTACCCGGGATTCTGGCTCGTTCATAATTGATGCCAGCGTTTAGTGTGTGTCGGTTGATGCTGTGTTCAAGGTTCAGATTAGCGCTCTCCTTCCTGATGCTGCAAAACAGAAAAACAAACTTTTTTAAGACATTTAATAGTACAGACTAAGATTCGATACCCTTACCTCAGTTTTCTTCAATGTTCAACCCTATACTATCTTACATACTCTTCCGAACCTTTTCTACAATACCATCTACAACAGTCAGATAAGAACCAAAGGGACCTATTCATGTTAGGTGAACAGGGGCACAGGTGTAAAAAGACCCCCTTCTA